ATTCCGCCGTTCATGAGGCGCCACGGCTGCAGGATGAAGGCGCAGGCGGCGGTGAGATAGCCGCCGCGGCGGAGGTTGAAGAGGCGCGGCGCGAGGGCCGACAGGTCGATGCCGTTGGAGAGGGCGTTTTGCGCGACGGCGATGCCGAACTGCGCGAGGATGAAGGCCAGCGAGGCAAAGGCGACGGCGGCGCGGCCGCGCCGGCGAATCGTCGTTGGTGGACCTGCAGGGCGTCGAGGAAGCGGTACGGCTCCCAGACAAGGGTGCCGCGGGTGTGGGGGAAGAGTTCAGCGGCGCACGAGGTGCAGACTATGCCGACAAAGGCGACGAAGATGGTGTTGGTCGGCACGAAGAGGAGCTGAGCGAGGATCTGGTCGCGGGGTTTGCGGGCAAAGCGCGTATAGTCGGACTGACTGTACAGATGGGTGGCGATGCCGGAAATATTAGTGCAGATACCGAGCAAGAGCATCCACCCGAGATGAGAACCGGTGGCCTGCTTGATACCGGCGGTTGCCGTGATATCGGAGGCCATGGGGCCCAGGTCGCCCACCGTCGCAAGGCAATAGATAAAAATGGTCACGACGGTGGGGATGACTGTAAGGGCGGCAATGGCAAATGGGATGTGGTAGCGCTCTGGACGGATGTAAATAAGAGGCAGACAGAGCAGCGAGAAGATGATGAAGCCCGTAAAGTCGGCAACCGTCATAGTGCTGTCAGCCAGCGGCTTGTCAAGCCTATTGAAAGAGGGCCAGATGGAGGAGATGAAGGTCCGCACACACTGTCCTCCCCAGTAAACTTGGGTCGAGTACCAGATAAAGGAGAGCATGATGCGCTGCACCATTGGGATGAAGGCTCCCCACATGCCCCAGCTCGACTTTTGGAGGATGCAGAAACCGATATGCCATTTTGCGCCCGGCGCGCCGGTCAGTACGCAGATGAGGCCGACAAGACAGTGGCCAATTATGACCGTAAGCATAGCTTGCCATACGTTGAGTCCGAGTGCGATCAGGGCAGAGCCGGTGGTCCACCCGCCAATGTTGAAGGATCCAGTAACGACCCAGAGCCCCACGAACTGCCAAGGACCATACGTACGGCGAGATGGTGGCAGTGGTCTGGTATCGTGATTCATGTAGGCCGTTGTCGAAACATCCGTCTCGCGAGGAACCTCGATGCGCCGAAACGCCCGTCGAACGGCCGAACTCATGGTGACAGCGGAAGTCGTGTGACTTATAGGATATCGGAGGAGATTGTAGAGGCGAGAGCAATCATGCAAAGGAAAAGATTGCTCGGTGAGATCAACCGCCGGCTGACCAAAGGCCTCTCCGCTAGTACAGCCAACTGTGTATACCGGAGTAGTCGGTTTGGTCGTCGCTTGCTTGGCGTGACAGGCGTCGCGGTCGTTGACAGTCAATGACTACGAGACGACTGGTGGGGATCCCGATCCCTTGGAATTGGGCCACTCGCTTGATTAAATATGGATAGCCACCCCTGGCGATGGAGTCATATCCCGGCCTCAGGGTTCGAACGCCTGGTAGGGCGTGGCTGGGCTTGGACTGGGCGGACAGCGGTTCAGCAAGTCGGTGAGAGCAACTAAGCTCCGCCAGAGAGCACAGAACACCAGTAGCAAGTTGCTGGGGCGTTTTTAGGGGTCGGGCGGGAAGCGGTTGGCACTCGCAATACCTGTCCCCGGTCGAGGTGGTGTTCTTGACAGCTACCGGAAACACTAGAGCCCCTTCGATTGGGGGTCAGACTGGGGTTTTGGTAGGTTCGGAATCAACGGATGAGGTTCCTGAGGCCCCCAGTAACCTCGTGGCAGAACGGTCTTTTATTCGCAAGTTGAGGTAGGTGAGATGGGTGGCGGTCTCGTCGTGAGGAAGACAATTGCTGACGGCTGCTAGTAGACTAAATCGATGGACAACAAGTCGAAAGGTCTCATTCTCGGCGAGGCGTGCGTCTGCAGCTGTCTTTCAGGACCCTGTTCCTGAATTCTCCAAGGCATACCAGTTCTTCTTGCGGCCGAGGGACCACGCCAAGTTTGTATGTTTATCTTGAGCTTGAGAAGCCTGGCCCTGATGATCAAAGAAGAAGACGAGTCGATCATTTCCCAATGCCAACAAGGCTCGCAAGCTGCTTGTCTCTTCAGCACTCTATCACCTGCATCGGATGCCGAAAGAGGGTCGAGCTATGGAGGCTACTGCAAGACCGGTGAGACCAGACCCCGTTTCCCACGCCATGACCAAGCGGCCTCAACTGCTACAGTACTACGACATGACTTGTCGTATCTACCGGCAGCCACGGCGCCTTTGAATTCATGTCCCCCGTGAATGGTCCTATGGCACGAGCCTGAGGGCCACCCATTCGCTCTCCCAGCTCATGACACCCACCAGCCAGATAGCGCCATTACCACCCGCTCCAACCCCGGCCCAGAGGACATCCCTCACTCCGAGTGATGAGCACTATCAGAGCCACCATCACGCGCAAGGTTCGCTTGGGCCAGACGCCATCACACCCGCCAACCCAACGGAGCGCAGCGCTAGTCTTGTGCTCAAAGAAATCAGAAGGTTCCATCGAGTCAGTGATGACGTGGGTTTGCCATCCCACAATCAATCCCCCTCTCTTTATTAGTCTTCAGAGAAGCAGAGCCGGGGGTTGCCCCGACCCAGTCAGAAACAGGAAAACAGGCTGGGCACAGTCTGCCGCCAAGGTATAACGAGATGGCCAGTCCCTGTTGCCAGCGACACCTCATTCACATGCACGCGTTCGACTTGACGTGCTCGGCTTTCAAACACGAGCCGGCATGCATACATGCAGCTACCCGACCCTCCTCTCCGCTGCCAGCGGTTGCGCTGCCAGCGGACCTCTCACCTCTTCAAGCGTCGACAGACTGCTGCCCACGCTCACCATCTGTCTCCCGGGCATCCGCCCGCCTTGATTACCCAGAGAGTCTGTCTGCCTACCTGTCTCGCGACGGATGCGTGACCTCCACCCACGTCCAGCGGCACGAATTCAACCGCTTCACCAGCCGTTTACCAGCTTAAACCCTCAAACAACACTGCAAAACAGCTCATCGACGAGGGGGGCGTTCATCGCGGCACGGCGCGCGGGGTCGCAGACGGACTGGCGGAAGAGGGAAGGGATCTGGAATCGCCCGTCGGGCCAGGCCGCGATCAATTGTGTAGACATAGAAAAGAAGCATACGCGCACTCTGTTTTGCACTCGTGGGGTGTTGAGCGCATTCCCCCCCTTTTCTTCGCTTTCGCGAGAAGTAACAATATTCCCTTGCTGCCCCTTTCCCCCCTCCCGTCTGATCGTCGACGGTGCCCCCAACAGCACCCTTCCCCTCCGATCCCAATCCAACCCAAGCCCGTCTCCGTGTCGGTGTACCCTTAAAGCATCCCGTACCGGGAACAGCAACCCCCCTTCCCCCATCGAATACCTGTTTTGCTTGACCATCGCAGAGAAACAGCACCACAGACGCACACACATACACGCCCCCCAACACAGGGGTGAAAACAAGACCGCCAACTGCCGACCTCCGCTCGCAATCAGTCAAAGGCACTGCCGATCGCTTTAACACCACCCCGGCAGCCTGCACCACTACCACCACCACCGCCCGCCCAGCCCGTCACCCCGACCCACGGGACGAACCCAAACGCCCTCCTCCCACCCTTCAGAGAAAGCAACGCCCGTCACCATGGGCGTGGGCGCTGCGCTACCGATCGTCGACTTGGCGTCCTTCGCTTCGGCGGAGGACCTGGGCGCCGAGCTCATGCGCGTGGGAAGGAACCCGGGCTTCTTCTACGTGGTAGGCCATGACCTCGGTGACGACGTTGCGTCGCATGTCTTCAAACTGGCGCAGCACTTCTTCGATGCACCTGCGGAGGAGAAGCTGGCCTATGGGAATGGGAGCGGTGATCTGGTAAGTTTGCCACTGCATGTCACTATCATTCCGAATCTTGGAACTTCACTACTACGTCTCGGGGGAGGGTTCTTTTTGATTTCCCGGAATTGGATGAGACAGTTTTCAGCTGACAGCAGCCCCCCCTTTCCCTTGCTGCAGGGCTATACAGGCATGAGGGAAGAAACGTAAGCCTCGCGTTGACAGATTCCACCCGTGCATGCAAGCGAGACTGTCGAAACTGACGTTTGTGGGATATTGGAGGCTCTCGGGGAAAGGACCCGGTGATGTCAAGGAATCATTCTATCTCGCAGACCCCGGCACGTCACAGCAGCCACTGCCTCCACGACTCGACCGCCACCGTGAGCAGCTGGCCGCCTTCTTTCATGACTGTGATGCACTGGCCAAGAAACTCCTGAAAGCCCTGGCTATAGGACTGGGGGTAAGTGACAGGCCCCTGTCCCCTCCAATGCTTGAATCCCTGAAATTCATGACTCTCTCCGCCAGGTGCCCCAAGATTATCTTTCCAAGGCTCACACGGGCGAGAGCTGCCGCATGCGACTAATCAACTATCCCGCTGTCTCCTGCGAGTCGCCGACACGAGATGCTGTTAATGACGACAGCGGTGACATTCGTGCGGGCGCACATTCCGATTATGGCTCGCTAACTCTGCTATTCCGCCAACCCTCGGATCAAGGCGGTCTCCAGGTGCTTCGCCAGGATGACTCGGCTGGGCCGACATGGATCGATGTGCCGTGTCTACCCAATGCGATCGTCGTCAATATTGGCGACGCCCTGGAGTTTTGGACCGCAGGACGGCTGCGGTCAACCGTCCACAGGGTGGCGTTCCCACGCAGCGCTAAGGAAAACGTGGCAAGACTGAGCATCCCCGTTTTCATCCAGCCTGACCGCAATGTTGTGCTGGCCCCGATAGGGGTAGACGGGGGCACTTCCAAGGGACAGCCCGCTGTCGTCGATGCAGGGTTCCTTGACGTCCTCAAGCGCAAGGGGTACGCCAGCGCCGCACCTGTGACGAGCCACGAACATTTGACAAGTCGCATTCGTGCGACCTACGCCAAGAGCTGATTATGTCGTTGTCCTTGTTGGAATGGCATCAGTCCAAGCTGGTGATTGAGTGCTGGATGGGATTAAAAAGCTCCACTCGCCAGATCACTATGCTGCAGTTGATAACGACCCAAAAGGTCGTCTGGAACATTCCTTAGGTGGCGCTGTACACACTGAAGTTGCCGGTCCACTCCGTCTCTGTTGGCAGGGCGCCGAAAGGACTAGGCCAAGGGATATGATCGAGATACTCCATGGGAATGGTGAAGTTGTGCGGTACGATGAAATGCTGAATGGGAATCTCAGCTCGGGGTTCATGCGCTGCATGTGTGAGCTCTGGCTCGTTCAGAATGGACGTATCCTGCGGTTGCGTTCGCTCGAGGTACTCATCGATCCGACCAATGTGCTGCAGGAGCTTCTGGCCAGCCTCAACAGCCAGAGGTAGCGAGGGGCCTAGGTTCTCGAGGAAGATGGCCATTGACCGACTGGGCCATCGTCAGCATGATGAAGAGCGGCTGACATGGAACCGGTGGATTTCTTACATGACTTCTCTGAGGTGACGGTATTCGTTGGGATGAAGTTGGCGGCCGATAAAGCTCGTGAGCATCTGGCCCACGCCGGCGAGCTCTTGCAACTTGAAATCATGTTAGCTAGTCTCCGAGGCAAAGTTGTACGTATCTTTACCATAGGGGAACCAATGGCTCGAAGATAATCGACGGGCGTTAGTGACATCTCCTCAATCAACTGGGTAGCTGTATGACAGGCATCTCGAAATGTGACGTCTTGGCAGGAGAATGATGTCATTCTCACCAGCTGTTGTCGTTAGTACAGTCGTGCTTGGGCAGATTCTAGTTCGCGTACCTGGATAGTGCAAGCAATGTTGGCCACTTGGAACCCGCACAGATTCGATTCGGTGTTGGGCGACGGCGGTTGGGCTCTAGCAAGATAGGTTGGCAGGCCGTCTCTCTGCGTCAAGACCTCGGACAGAATATCGTCGATCGGAGGTGGCATGTGAGTGAAGCCGTATCCGGCGTAAATATGGCCTCGGTCGGCAGGCGTGGTCTTGCGCGAACGAAACCGCACGATCACATGCTCGAGCACGCGGTAGAGGTCCGTGATGTAGTTCCACCCGATGAGCCATCCACCTGAGGGGAAGCCGCCCCTAGATGCGGCGGCGGCAGCGATGGGGTCCACAAGCGCGTCCGAGACAGCCGGATATGCGACGGCCGCCTGCATTTCCGGACAACGGATGGAGTGGCCCATTATGAGGGCTGAATGCACCTCGAGGCGGTACATGGACCAAAAGAACTGCCGGCGTACGTGGACCTCGACTGGGTCAATGCTCGAGGGCCAGCGTGACTCGTTCTGGAAGTTGTGCTGGGCCATGACCGTGTGATAGAGGCCAAGGGTCTCATGGAGAAGAGGAGCGTCTCCGAGCTGGATGGCGGCCAACGACAGGGTGCCGAGGGTCTGCAGATACTGGAAGCTGTCGGCGGCTGAAATGTCGCTCGGGATGGCCCTCCTCGCATCTTCGAGGTACGACTGCTGGTGCTTCGCAGGGACCGTGGGGGCGATGCGCAGACTGAAGACGGCCCCATCGCGAACATGACATGAACTGAGGGCACAAACGGCCATGAGCCGCGCAAAGGCAGGGCGACTCGACGAGAGGCTCGTCCGCTCCCACTCATCGACAAGAACCGATTCAGCGAAGAAAGGAAAGCTTTGAGGCCCGTTGTCAGCATGCCCCCCCGAGGTTTGACGTTGGGAGGTGAGAACCACAACTCACATGGGATACACGGTATCAAAAAAGACGCGCAGCAGTGCGCCGATGAGCCCTCGTTCTCCATGCCTCGCGACATCGTACGTCCAAGTCTCGTCGGCGACGCTGGAAGCCTTCCTCGCGACTTCAGGGCCCTTGGACTTGACACCTCGCTTAGCAGCAACACGGTCCCAGGTGCAAGTGGCGCCATGTTCGATGCATGTCAGACATGTCACCGTGGTGGCCGAGTCCGGACTTGTGGTGGAGGGCAGCTTGCATTTGCGGCCTCGACGGTGGCAGAAGTCGCAGGCCTTGGTGATCCGACGGCGTTTCAGGACGGGCTTGTCGTGATCAAAAGAGCGTCCAGAGTCGGGAGACTCATGCTTGACGGGCAAACTCATGATGGATGGATAGAATGGCGGGAGAGGGGGTCAGCGTGGGGACCAATGTCATGACATGAGGCGGTTGGTGACTGAACGTTCCATCCGGCACGGAAGCCCAAGCCTGCGAGTGCTGGTTGGTGCCCAAGCCCGAAGGAAG